GCTCTATGGCTTTAGACAGTCATTTTACCCTGTCAGACTTCAATGTCTTCATCTGTAAAACAAGATAAATTAAATCAGGGGCACCTGGGTGGCTCAGTTGGTTAAGTGTCTGACTCTTGATTTCGGCTCGGGTCATGAACTCACGGTTCGTGAGTTCGAGTCCCATGTTGGGCTCTGTGCCGAGAGTGTGGAGTCTGCTTGGAGTTCTCTCTCTGCCCCTCCCCCACTTGCTCTCTTTCGCTTTTTCTCAAAATAAATAAATAAACATTCTTAAAAAATTAACCCAAAATGTCCTGGAGATCTAAAAGTAAGAGCTAAAACTATAGCTAAAACGCTTAGAAGAAAACATAGGAAAAAAATCCTTGTGATGTTGGATTAGTAAAGATTTCCTACATACGCCATCAAAAGCACACACGATCAATAAAAGAAAAAAAATAATAAACTTTATCGAAATTCAAAACTTTTTGAAAGTTTTCAAAAACTCACCCCAGAACTCAATAAGAAAACAAACCATGGGCAACCCAATTGGGCAAAACATTCGAATGGACATTTCACCAGAGACAGATGAAAAGCTAATGAATAAGTACATCGTTAGTCATGAAAGAAATGCAAAACCACCTCCAAATACTACTTCATACCCACCCGGACGGCTATAATCTAAGACACCAAATGCTGACAAAAATAAAGAGAAACAGGAACTCTCACCCAGGGTTGGTGGGAATGAAAAATGATGCAGTCACTTCGAAAAGGTTTAATCAGTTTCTTATAAAAGTTAAGTACAAATTTACCACATGACCCAGAAACTCCACCCAAGGAAAATGAAACATGTTCATATGAAGATTTGATAAGTGAAAGCTCGTAACAGCATTATTCCAAAAGAGCCGAAAAGCAGAAATAACCCAATGGCCATCAAGAGGTGTCCAATAAGAAGGAATCATGTAATGATACAGGCTACAACATGGAGGAACTTCAGGAAACGCCATGCCAAGTAAAAGAAACCAACACAAAGGACCACAGATTATAGGGTTATATTTACATTAAATATCCAGAAAAGGCAAATCTATAGAGACAGAGAAAGTAGATCTGTGGTTGCCCGAGGCAGGGGGTGGGAACAGGGAGTGACTGCAAACGACATGAGGCATCTTTGTGGAATGATGGAAATGTTCTAAAATTGGATTGTGGGGATGACTGAACAACTCTGAAAATTTACTTAAAAAATTACACGACTGTACACTTAATACAGGTGCATTTTATGGTATATAAATTCTAACCCAATCAAGTTGTTCTTAAAAATGAAAAAATATCACGGTGAGTGGAAAAAGCCAAATGCAAAAGACAGTATGTTATTATGATCTCATTTACACAAAATGTCCAGAAAAGGCAACCCTATAGAGACAGAAAGGTTTGTGGTTGCCTGGGGTTAGGGGTGGGAACAGGGATTAACTGTAAACAGGCACAAGGATCCTACTGGGTGAGGAAAATATTCTAAAACTGGATTATGCTTCCTGGCATACGGCACAAGCTTCTAAAAACCACTGAATTTTGTACTTAAAAATGGGTGAATTTTATAGCATTAGATTATTTTTTAAGGTTATTTTTAAAAATAAAATGGTTGGGGCGGCTGGGTGGCACAGTCGGTTAAGCGTCCGACTTCAGCCAGGTCACGATCTCGCGGTCCGTGAGTTCGAGCCCCGCGTCGGGCTCTG